CATTCCATTTTCCTAATTACAGTTTATGTGTATAATGCGGTTGGTCTATACATACATGTATATCTATATATAAATGTATTACTTCACCGACAGGGGAATTGTGAGGATAATGGTCATAATGTCTTTCGAATAATCACTAAAGTTGCTGTCTTAAAAATGGCTAAGATCCCTTAAGCTATGTTTGGTAAAGACTTCACATATGTAACCAAACACGCTGTCACCTCCACGTCGTTTGTTTCATTGTCTCAGTCACCGCCAAACAACCCCTTTGCCTCTTTGCTCCAAACATTTCAACGCCACACATGACTCATCATCATCATCATCATCATTTGTAACATTATACACACGCACATATGTATATTGTGTATATATATATGTTGCATTCTTATTAAATATGGGGAAACAAATGCAACGGATGAGTGAGAAGGAAATGAAAATAGAATTTTTGTATATATATATACACTTTCTGATCTTATTTTCTACAGAGAATTCATTGATTTATTTAACAGTTTAAATATTTTGTTTTAATTTCTATAACTAGTAAACTATATATTTCATTCATTTGAGTTTTCTAGTTATGAATTTTTCATGAAATATGTGGCTTTATATGTTATTACCATTTACCTATTAGGTATATTGGGATTTTTCCAATATGCAGTTAAAAGACGGGGTGCTTCTGATAATTTGAAAACGTTCGGGTTCAATGTAAAAACTAAAAGAATAACGGGAAAACATTTAGCCCAAAGGAGGGGGTAGTTTCGTCAATACATATCACGAGGAAAAGCCGGGATTTTGTCACAAAATAAACAATACGGCGTCGTTTTCTCCCGTCAACGGTTCCTCTCATGTTTAGTCTAACCAGGCGGCATGACACGTCATCACAAGCGCACACATCCTGACTACATGTGTATATACATGCACACATAGATGTGACCATATCATCACATGCACATCATCATCATACACACCCACCCTCTATATATTCCTCGTTTTGGCTCTTTTCCCTCTCCTCCATTTGTGTTCAAACAAATTCTCTCTCCGAATTCCAGAATATTCAAAGATCCACAAAAAAGGAAAAACCCTGAATCTCCACAACAACAATGGGCGAAGTCAGTCTCTCTCTCTCTCTCTCTTTTTCTGTGATTTGTTGGGTCAATTAACGCTTAATCTAAATCCGGCTTTGTGTGTTGCAGAAGAAGGAGGAAGCTCCGGCGAAGCCCGCGGAGGCTGCGGCGGCGAAGAAGGAAGGCGGAGCCGGCGGAGTCACCGTCGTGCTCAAGCTTGACATGCACTGCGAAGGCTGCGGCAAGAAAATCAAACGAATCTTCAAGCACTACAAAGGTACATACATATATATACAGTTTTTGCATCGGTTCGATTGGATGTCGTCTCTCGTCGAGATTTCGCCTAATTTCGGTCCGACCCGCTTAGATTTGGTCGTTGCGATCGGATCCGTTTTGAGATTTCACTTAGGGATTCATCTGGGGGGTTTATGATTCCCTGCGGGAAGGTGTATCTGAATTAACGTGAATTATGGTTTCTAATTTTGGATGGTGAAGGTGTTAAGGACGTGAAGATAGACTACGGGGCTAACAAACTGACGGGGATCAGAGACAGAGTCGCCGAGAAAACCAAGAGGAAGGTCGAACTCCTGTCTCCGGCGCCGAAGAGCGGCGGCGGAGGAGAGAAAAAGCCGGCGGAGGAGAAACCCGGCGAGAAGAAGCCGGCGGAGGAGAAAAAGGAAGAGAAGAAGAAAGGAGAAGACGAGAAGAAACCTCCTCCTCCAAAAGAGGTAACACCTCCCGACCTCTTCCCATGTCTTTGTCCTTTTTCTTCTTCTGGTAAAAAAAAAAAACATATTTTTCCATGTCTGTCTCTTTCCATTTCTATCCCAAAAAGAAGCTGTTTCCATGTCTGTGTCTATTGTTCTGTCATTGCGTGAGAAAAAAGGAAAAAAAAAACTATTTTTACAAAGTCAGATGGCAAATTTGTAAATTAAAAAAAAAAGGTGTTTATGGAATTTATTTAATCTTTTATAAAAATGATTATAAAAATCAAAATCTGATTTTCAGACAACGGTGGTTTTCAAGACGAGGTTACACTGCGAAGGCTGCGTACACAAGATCAAAAGGATAATATTGAAAACCAAAGGTGAGGAACAATTGGAAACGTTTTTCATTACTAATATTATTAATTTAAATACAGTTCCTTTTTTTTTCAACCAATTAATTAAATATTATAATTCATTACGTTAGGTGATGCAATTCCGGGCTAACGGAAGCAGACGAACCTTCTTAAATTAGGCTGAACTACCTGTAGATAGAATAGAAGCGTTATCTATTATTTTAATTGGATAAATAAAATAAAAAAATAAATGGTTTGGTTAGCTACAAATCCATTCCTTTTAATCATTTTTTTAATAAATTAAACCATATTGGAATTAAATTAAATGGCATAATAACATATGATCTCGTTGCAGGGGTCGAATCAGTATCCATAGACGGCGCAAAGGAACTTGTGACGGTGAAAGGAACAATGGACGTCAAGGAGCTCACTCCTTACCTCAACGAGAAGCTCAAACGCACCGTCGAAATCATCCCTCCACCCAAAAAGGACGCAGACGCAAACGCAAAGCCAGCCGCTGAAAAGAAAGACAAGGAAGCTCCTGCAGCGGCAGCAGCGGGGGACAAGAAGAAAGAGAAGGAAGTTTCCGGCGAGAAGAAGGAGAGTTCCGGCGGAGACGGCGGTGGTGCGGCGGTGGAGATGAAGAAGATGGAGTACCACGGGTACACCTACCCGCCGCAGCCGATGTATTGGTACCCGGAAGGACACGTGTACGGTCATAATTACGCGATGGAAGGTCAACCTTCGCAGATGCACGTACAAGAACCGTATGCGAACCAACACCAGCAGGTGTACGTACACGAACCGTATCACACGAACCAAGGATACGCGGGGGAAGGGTATGCGGTGGACCCGTATGCGCATCTACGGGCGCCTCAGATGTTCAGTGACGAGAATCCAAATGGATGTTGGATTATGTGAAAAAACAGTGAGATTATATTATTATAATAATAATATAATTGTAAATAATAAAAGGAAAATATAGGGGAGAGAGAGAGAACGGTGAATTCCCACGGCCATCTCGGAATTTGTTCACAAAGTGAATAAGGATCTTGTAAAACCGGGTTCATCTAAACCGACCGGTTCAGGTTGGTTAGAGCCGGATTTTTTAGGTTTTGGGGTCGGTTGGTTGTTTGTTGGTTCGTTTATTATTATCATTATCATTACTATTTTTAGAATATAGTATTATATGATATATAGCTGTAGTAGTAGATTTGGCATTACGCTTTGGTGTTAAATTGTGCTTTGTTACGTTCGAGGGATCATAATGGAATTTTTTTTTTCATAATTGCTATTGTTGAGATCTGATTTTTTTTTTCCAATAGAAAGAGGTCTATTTTAATGAAATATGATTTGAAAAGATAAGATTTAAATGTTAGGCATCTTATAATCAAAACTATCCATAATTATAATTGCATAAACTTTGTAAGATATCTGAATTTATAAGCCAGTATTATTAGTTTAAGGGTATTTGATAAAATTAGAACAAAAAATACAGTGTTGATGTGATCTTGAGGAATTTTAAATGAGTTTAATTAATATTTGTTTCAACGACCGGCGAAATTAATTATATCGTGATAACTTAATTAATTTTGTCAATGCTCAAAGCCAATGATATTTGGCATGCATTTACTCAGGCGTAGTTAAATGGATTTCAAGAACATTTTAAATGATTTTAATTATAGAATGCTTATTATATGAATTAATTAATATATTTAATTTGTGTCCTCAAAAGCCTTTTGGGCGTACCAATTACCAAGAGACGAAATAAATATGAGCGCTTCTCTATTAGATGTATAGAAAGGGTATCATAAGAATAATAAAAAAATCAGAACAACTCTCATTTATTATAAAAAAAAAACATAAATCTATGTATTTTATTAAAAATGACGTGCCAAAATGGTTATAGATATTTCGTTGAATTTATTTAATGCAAGCACTAAAGGGGTTGGCCAATAAATTCCACAAATTCGAGAACATCCGTGAATCGTAGAGAAAAACATGAACACGGACCATATAACAATGTCCAACGTACGCATCACATTTTATTGATTTCGCACCATATTCTGATTATGGGATTTATTTTATTTCCAACCCACAGTTAATTTTATAATTTCTTTTGGATCAGTGGGTAATAATACTGCTCTAATGGGACCGTTTACTAGTTTTGGTGATTCCTTTCACACCCATCTCATGTTTTTTTTTTCAATTGTTTGATTGTTGCATTATAGCCCAAAAAGAAATAACAAAAAATGATAATTAAATATATATATATATATATATATGACAAACGATATTTATAGCTAATTAGAATATATTATTGTTTATACTAAATTGGTAGTCAATACCAACGAATAGTTTTGTTCAACATTAGATTAACTCTTTAATCTAAAACTAATCAAATAAGTAAGTTGATATTTTCGTGTTTAAGTAATTAAAAGGTGGATTTTTTTATGGGTTTTCTTATTTAATTTATTTTATTTCCGTGTGACGATATATATTAATACTTATTAATTATTTGATAGAACTACGTATAATGTTACTTGTGTGGTCGAAATGCTTCAGTTACAATTCAATAAATTAATACGAATGATTATTGAAGATAAGTATTTCATGCACCGTCATCAATTTTGTCCATTTAGCTCTCTAATTAATCAATTGATTAAATAACTATAAGTTGTTTTTTTGTTGTCATTTCTCTTTCTTAAATCAATTGGAAATTAATAAGATTTTATTATTCCCATTGTATATAATTATACGAAAACAAAGGAATATACGGAATACTAATTATTATTAAAAATGCATTTACTTTAATAATTTTTTGTTATTCAATAGTCTGTTCTTGTGACGAACTGCATGACAGACAATTGACATTTCTACCATTTATGAAATTGGAAACATATATATAACACCATAGTATAATGATTTTAATCGTACGCAGTTTTTCTATATTATGTATCATTTTAATTCATATATATATATATATATACACACACACACACACACACACACATATCAAGACACTGCATTCCCCATAAACTCGACTATATCGATGAAAACCTAATCCATCACTCATTGATAAACTAGTATTTAATATTTTGTCCCATTTGTTACACATTGCAATACATATAGTTCCATAGTGTTATTATATTGAATATATATAAATGTAAGATAAGAAGATCGTCACGACACTAATCATTATGAATATTAAAATTTTTGTGGCATGGTCGAAAGCATGAGGCGAGACCATGAACTAAAGAAACCTCGTGTTTCTGACTCAGCTTAGAATGTGACTTCAATGTCGGTATTGAGTTTTGCCCCGGTTTGGTTTGGTATGGTATGCATATGATTTTTTAAATTAATATATTGCATGTATTTATAATTGTCCCGGTTAATTAATTAAGATCGATTTATATTAATCATTAAAGAAAATATGGAATAACCATACATGCATAAAATGATAATACTTTTTGTGAGCATGCATGATGAATTGATGATGCCTTATGTTAATCATGATGGAGTTTATGATGATAGCATGTATATACATACACACACATATATATGTATGTATATCTATGGTCCAACACTTGTTGACTTGTAATCAAAAGGGACGAATGTGGGGCCCGAAACACGTCAGCCACACATGGCAACTGATTTGGATTGCACGCCACGAGTCTTGCCCATCGTGGGGCCTACGGGACCCACATGCATAAATATTTTATTAAATTGAAGTGATGAATTATACGAAAGTCGCATGTGTTTCGTACACAAAAAGATGGAGACGAAGAAAAATAAAAAGGCCTAATAAAGTATATTTTTGTATAATACAAAATATATTTTTTTTTATACATACAAAATATTAATTGGTAAAACCATTGGTATATTGATCACCATAACTCATTCCAGACATAATATGCATAAATGACAATTAAAAAAAATCTATTATGGGTATGGATATCATGGTAACAAATATATTCTCAGATGGATCAAGACGGTTCATGTATAACATCATACTTGTTTTTTTTTTCAAATTATATAATATATAGTGATAATTATTTGACATTAATAAAACGATTTTTAGAAGATCATCACGGGCCAGTATTAATCGCAAAATATTATTAACCAAAATCATATATTATGTAATGATAACTCACATATCTTAATTATGGCGTTGATCACTGCACCACATCGACTGGACCACATATACTTCTTGCTTAAGTATTATAAAATTGTGTAGCGCTTTTCAGTAATTACATGGCGTACCAAATTTAAATTATAATATATTAGCTATTATTGAAGGATTATCAAAACACATATACAATTAAAAAAAATCATTTAGATTTGGTTTTGTAAACCGTGTGATTCTTCGTATCAAAAATTGAGATTTTAATGTACATTTGATACTATTCCATGCAGTACGTGCTTGCTCTCTATAAAATAAATAAAGTTATTATAAAGTTAAATATCATAATCTTATCCTAATCATAGTTTTGTAATGTTTAGTGTTATAAAATCGATTAAACTTGTATTATATTTCTGTCGGACTTTTTCGTATTTTAACTTGGTCGCGCAGCCGCCACACGTGCGTCCATGTTTTCCACAGTTTCGATTTACAACTACGCCATATTATTATTATTATTATTATTATTATTATTATTATTATTATTTAGGTCGAAAGTCTCAAGCATTTATGAGATCTTATTGCAGAGTTAATAGGGATGTCACTAAGCCTACAAATTTGATTTGAATTTTGACTTTTGACTTTTGACTTTTTACAAACCTTGAAATTTATTTGACCGTTTTGCTTCTTTATCCCCCCAAAATAGTCAAACAACTTGAACATAACCATTCACATGTTTGAATTATATTAACGATGTTGGGTTATAAAATTGCATAAAATGACTTTTAAAAAGATAAATAAATGATTTAAGAAAATTGAATATGCAAAAAAAAAAAATCCATCCTTAATTTTTACTGAACAAAATCACAATCCAATGGCAAAAGCTGCAAAAAGTATGTATTTTTGTATATGAATGTGGTGGTCTCATGTTATATAACGTCTCCGTTATTCGTGAATTTTATTTAAAAATCAATTGAGTATGATTTTTTGTAAACAAAAATAACAGAATCGAGAGCAATTTTTCTTTTTCTTTTTATATTTGAAATAAACAATTGTAATGTAAAATCGAAATAAAATAAATCCAAATAAAATGTGATATGGGCTTATGGGCTTATTCATAGTGGGCTGAGTTCGGTTTCCACGTTATTCTTATGAAGATTTCAGATATATCTCACATAGTCCACAATCTTTTTAAAAGTTTGAAAATGACCCCTCAAGTACTATCATTATCATTATCATCCCATTCTCCATTTTCGTTATTTTATTATGCATCATTGCTGTATTTGCATTATCGTACTTCACTCACATTTTGTTCTGAATTAATTTACATCGCAACATATTTGGTCCGGTTATATTGGAATTTGAAATTTAGATCTGGTCTCCGGTTATACTAATATCGATTTACAGTATAAAAAAATAATCAAAATTCATATCATTTTAAATGTTTTTTATCTTCATTATAAAAAAAAAAAAATTGGCCATATATGGCTCCTTTGAACTTTCACACTATTAAATCCTTCAACCGTAAAACCTTGTGGCAAATGGATGCATTCACATAACAATTAAATCTATAAATGTATTTTAATTAAAATATATTCCGCATATAAAAAGGGGCATTGTTCTCTACTTACATGAATTCAAAGATTTATAAATAATTATATTTTATAAATTTCAGAATCTTCCATTGGGTTTCTAGACATGAATAATTCGCTCAAGTTGGTATACACCAAAGGGTACGAACCGTACGTACGATGCCGTGTCAGGAGTTTGAACGCATTAAATGATTCCGTACAAACAACAACACAAAAGGGTTGGCAGACATTTTGCACTGACCTTCGAGACCATACCAACGGTTCACATGTCGGTATGGGACAACATATGCTCTCCACACACTAATTTATTTGTTAAATTAATAATAAAAATATATATTCAATTTAACAACCGACGAATTCCAATTAGAAATGAAAGAAATCTGTGTAATAAATCTGCATTAGGCAACTGTATTAATGAAGATAAGCATAATTATCTCAACAAAATCAGGTTATAAGAGGGTGGTGATACCTATCAAAGGGAAGATTATTATTATTATTCTAATCATGTATTAAATTATTGCAGAGAAATTTTACTAATTAAGAAAGTTTCAATTGAGGAATACTTCCTTTCAGGAGATGAAACAGAAGAGGAAAACCAAGCAGACATTTGCATTAAGTGCTTGGCATCTGCCGAGAAATTTCCTAAGGCTTGCTTCCTTTTTCACGTAGCGGTTCCATTCATAAAGTCCCCCTCTCCCTCCCCAGGTTCATGTCTTCAATTCAAGAGTTTCAGAATGTGCAAAAGACTGAAGCTTTCCCTGAAAAAGCTGCAATCTTTCTGCTTTTCGCCAAGATTCTCGAAAAGGGTCGAGAGCTTTTTCGAGTTTGAGGAAGACGATGACACTGCAACGATGGTTCCAGATGACGTAAAGGAAGGGCATGTGGCCGTGGTTGCGGTTAAAGGCGGGAAAGCAGAGAGGTTTATTCTGGAGTTAGGAGAGTTAAACAGACCCGAGTTCTTGAGGCTGCTTGAACAAGCCAAAGAGGAGTTCGGGTTTCATCAGAAAGGGCCTTTAGCCATTCCATGCCAACCCGAACAAGTACAGAAGATCCTACAAGACTGCAGGAAGGAAGCAGAGCTCGGTTTTCGGGCTATAGGGTAGAAGATTGTTAGGAGAGGTTCATTCTTTTTTTTTTCTTTCCTCTTCTTCGATGCTATCCACTCAGTGTTGACAAGAATTGCAAAGACATGATTTATGATGATTTTACAGAGAGATCACATGTTCGAAAAAGATAGAATTCAGCTTTGTTACAGTTCATTTTACCTCAGCACAGTTGTTCGGACCAACGGGTTCTCTTAAGCAATTGGATATTGCCATGACTGCAGCTTCAATAGATGCATCTTCTCCCTGGTTATAACAAGAAATCAGATATGTTGCATTTAGAAAGAAAAAAAACAACAACAGTCCATGTGATGATGGATGATGACAAGCGAGGATTCTTGCCTTCTCTTTCCAGTAGAACATGTTGCCGTATTTCCCTGCCAATCGACTCCAGAAACTACGAGGAACGTCCAAATCAACTGTTTCTCCCACGTTGAAATTCAGTATGTTCCCTAACCAGAAACAATCACAAGGAGAGAATTTTCACAATCAGTTCAAACTTTAAATACAACGGCATGAGGTCAGATACGTTACCAAATGTCGGGTCAGCAACGAACACAATCGTTCTATCATCCACCTGCCAGAAATCCTTGATCGCCAACCCTGTTTCAGTATCAAGAAACTCACCAGCAATTCTTAAAAGCCAGTATATTATCGATATGGAGCAAACGTTTTAGCAGCCGGAAAGAAACAAGCTCACCAGGAGTGTCAGGATAGTTCTGAGCTAAAACTCTCAACTTGTATCCAGTGTCCTTCTCAAGATCAGCAATTTCTCGAGCTATTCGTTCCTCCTGAGTTACCAAAAATGCGGTATCGGTAAAATCACAGCAAAGGTTAAGATTAGACATCCAAACCCAACCAATGGAAACACAAGAGCATAGTTGCAGTCAAATACTATGGGGGTGAATCATAACCTGGAAATACAAGGGAGAGGAGGAAAGGGAGGACGTAATGGATTCTAATGGCACGACCGAACTCGGAAACAGGGATCGTACAATTACGGGAAAAGGAAGTGGATGAAGCATACCTGGCCATCAGAGAGAAAACCTGCAACATCAAGCACAGAAGTGTATTCTTTTGGAAGCAATTCCGGCTTGTTAACCCCAACTTTCCCCTCCGCATATCCGATTCCTACAAAAGATTCAGAATTCTCTGGGAAAGGGGGAAGCTTTTTGCGTGGACTTTGAAGCTAGACACTACAGTAGCCTAAACTAAGATCTTGAACACAGAACAGTCACCAGATTATTCTCCTCACAAGCATGATATTGATATCCAACTATAAGCTAAAGAGATGGAATGAATCAAATAATGAACAATGCACGGATAGATCAACGAACAAGCCTCAACTCTATGATGCTGCAATAATTACCATCGCAGTGATTCAAGCGGTACAAACGGAAAAGCACATCGATTGTTTCTTCTTCCTCGATTTTACAGGACGGATCAAGAATCCGGTAATCGATTTAGAACACCCAAAGGTTCGATCCTACATAAAAACGCGAACTTTCCGAAAGCGCAAACGTACCCGAGAGGGACAAACTGAGAGAGAGAGCTCCAGAGAGCAGAAAACTGAGAGATTTCGACCGGAAACCGGAAACCCATTTTCCGGCGCCGGAATCCGACAACGAGAGACGAGACGATGATACTCCTCCGGCGATTACATTGAGTGCAGAAGCAGAGAAGCCTCTGCAGTGTGGAGGAGGAAGAAAGTGCAGAGCCATTCCCTTTTCTAGTTCTAGATAACGTTAAACGCACTCCTCTCCTGTGGAAACGACGTTTTGGCGTGAAGCTGAACCGGAAGACGCTATCCAATTCATCTCTCGGTTTAGTGAATTTGGAAGCCTACGCGTTCGGGTTTTGCTATTTCCGAAGTGTGATGGGTTATACAAAACTGGTTTTCACTATACAAAGATGAACCAATTACCAAACACAACAAGAAAGTGGAGCTCATAACCGACCCGACCGGATGTGATTCTTATGTTCCATGTCCCGGTTTCATTTTCTTTGTAAGCTTTAGGTTCTTTTGGAAGATGGGCAACGAGAAAATGTCACTACCACATGGGTAGCTTTTGCTATTTGGTCTGAAAGCCGGTTTACCATTGCCACAAGGTACTTCAACCAGAGAAACAAGAAACATAATCTTGAACCGGTACAAGAACCTCAAATCAAACAGCACAAGAGCATAACAAGAAGCCAATCGAGATAGGTTCTCATGCAGTTTACAAGTTCTCCTCCTCCTTCTGGTCTCTCTAACGCAAAGGACGAGACTGCATCACGCAGGCTTCTATGGGAAGTAGTAAGGCCAGTTGTAATAGTACGAATCTCGGACTTCTCTAGGTATCTTATTCCACTGTTGAACAAGGAGGAGACGAGACAATTGTCAGCAATGTCGTAGAAAAGACCTCAAGCAATTACAGGAATGCAAAGATATGGTATGTGTGTCCGCGACATGATAAAGGGTATGAACCTTAAATTCGTAAGGCTGGTTCTTTGCTCTTGCTTTCTTCCAGTGATATTGCTCAAACAGCATCCACTTGTCATGCCAACTGCATATGTAAGAGTACAAGAAATGGTGAAGTTACTTACCTGGATAAGCAGAAGACAGGAACGGTCGAACAGATGAACAAACGGAACGAATTTTATTTTGTGTCTAAGCGCCAAAAAAACATAATTACACTAAGTGCAATGAAAATGACCAGATGGGCTTGTATTAGTATAGTTTAGATGCACCAACCGGAATTCATATTCGAAAATATAGAGAAAAAAAAGTAGGGACGAATAACACAACTTGAGTTGAAAGGCAAAGGAGAGAAAGTTATTATGAAGAATAATCCAAGAATGTCATAAAACATCTCTCATTGGATTCAGAGATCAAAGTTACTCTCAAGAATCAGTGTTATATCAGGCAAAGACTCAGAAGTCATGACTCATATCATATAATTGTAGCTCTTAAGAAGGAAAACAAGAAGGAGCTATGAAAAGCCAGTCTAAAGAGAAGGGCAAATCTCCCCTCTTTACCAGAACAATGCATTGAAGAGTCGATCACTAGGCTTAGTAAGCATGAATATGCTAATAGTAATAGCTGTTATTTTCAACTCACAGAAAGTAAAACCTATTCTCCTAACTGATATCCCATACGGAACTCTAGTTCTCATGAAAACAAGTCATAGAAGACGGTGTAATGATCAATATGATATTCTGAAACAGAGGCAAACCAAGAATCAAGAGTTCTTCTCGACCAGATTTTGCAAAAAACCAGAATACTGACTGTAAATAAAACAAACGAATTCCTTATATTCAGTCGAGATCAGCGACGCATAGTTCAAACGAACGGAGAAACAAAATACAAATCACGAAACAAGCTCAAAATCAAGCCTGCAGTCGGAATCGGGTACCCATGTAATCAGTCTAACCACAAACCCCTAAAAGCCAAAACTTTCGTAGAATCAAACCATAGAACCCGAACACATGCAAAGCCCGAACATTTACAGAAAAATAGAAAAAACCCAGAAAATCAAACATAAAACCCACTGAGCAGAAATTTCAATCAAGGGGGAGAGAAAGAAGAATACTTGAACTGGTTGGAGAGCTGCCACATGTAGGGGTTGAACCAGGTCATGACGGAGAAAGCCGCGGATCCAATCCAAATGTTCACGAACCGATCCGCATCTCCATGTGGCACTCCTGGGTCGCCCCTGTACGCGTTGCCAAAGTACTTCTCCATTCTCTTTCGCTCTCTCCCTCTCCCCTCTCTCCTCTCCGTAGGTTTATCTGGATAATGGTTTAATTTTTTCCCCTCTGTTTGGAACCCGATATTGTGATATCCTAACCGTGGATAGGAGGAACCCTTGTCCTTCCCGTTAAACCAATGTACCTGTTTCAGGTTTACCAAATTTCCGGTTTATCTCCCAATTGAAGCGGTTGAACTCCGGTTTAAAACTTCCATTCAACACATTTATACCAAAAAGACTGAAACTTTCCATGAAAAAGCTGCAAACCCGTTTGGAATTCGGTCTGATTGGGAGCGACATGTCTTGAACCGGGGTAAACCGATGTACCGGTTTATGCTTACCAAAACCAATGGTTATGCCACACAAACTAATTACAACTAATTTTAGTTAATTAATTAATTAATCCTTTTTTTTTTGCTTTCTCGAGAAGGCTACCTACGCCTTGTATTCCTTTCTTGTTCGCTAATAGTTCTAGACGGATTGCTTGGCACCACCGCAACTAAAAATAAAATCCACCATCTCGGCCTCATTATTATTACTATATTCTGATAAAACCCCATATATTTTGCAAATTTTCAATGAGATCCCCACACATTCGATTAAATTCTATTGTATCTAAGGATTGGCTTCCCGATAATTATAGCATATCTATATGACAATCTGAATTTTTTACGGATATAAGAAGAAAGAAAAGATAGATATTCGAATTTGAAAAACTGCCTTTTTGCGTCTAAATTTGAAGTTTATAATAAACGTCAAAATATTATATTTTAAATCAATATTAAAAAATATATCATAATTTAAGGAAATCAAACATAATTTTGTAAATTTAAGAAAAATATAAGAATAATTTCATAATTTTTAAAAATAACAGAATTTTTTTGTAATTTTAACGTATGATCGATTTTTAAAATGAAAGTAGGAATTTATATCCAAAATTGTATATAGTATATATGTCCTTAAAAATCCATGTAATTTTCAAATATACGAATTGTTATATGTATAGATAATTTAAAACAACCTTAATTATATACTAGAAAATTTTCTTTATAGAGTTTTATTGGGATATATTTTGAGATATTTTAGAAAGCGGGGATGTCTTTGAAATTTACGGTAAGTTAGGGAAAAGGAAAATAAAAAGAGGAGAAAAATGGAAAATTAGAAAAATGGAAAAAGGAAAATAAAAATCACCCTTCTTTTCCAACAAGAAACAGCTCTATAAATACCCCCAATTCTCCTTCTGTAGATCCCATTATCGCTAATTCGCTATATACTCGTCAATCCATCTCTCACAGTTGGGATTTTTCAATTTCTGTGAGAAAACTCTGGTAATTTCGAGATTCGCCATGTCTAACCAAGCTGAATCCTCCGACTCGTAAGTCCCCAGATCTCCGATTTTGGTTTCCCGATCGAAAAGTTGCGATCTTTTTTGTTTTGGGGATTAGGGTTTTTGGCTGATCTCGTGGTTTTGTTCATCTTCGTTCCGGGGTTTGTTGTTCTGTTTCAGGAAATCGAAGAAGGACTTCAGTACTGCTATTCTGGAGAGGAAGAAGGCTCCGAACCGACTCGTTGTCGATGAGGCCGTCAACGACGACAACTCTGTTGTCTCTCTCCACCCGGCGACCATGGAGAAGCTTCAGCTCTTCCGTGGCGACACGATCCTCATCAAGGTTAAAGCTGTTTGCTTTTATTTCTCTTTTCTTCCTTTGTTTTGCTTTATTTTGGTTGAATCGGAAATACAATGCTGTTGAGGTGCTTCCCTTTGAGCCTCGATGGTTGATACAACGTTGGTTTCTTGCGTTACGCCTCCGTCTGTGGGATTTAGGGTTTTGATGTGGACTGATGCTTTTTGGTGTGAATCTATCGAGTTTTCTAAATTGGTTGCTTATGAACTGTTGTGATGCACCACGAATTCTTGGGGCTGAAGGACTACCGAGTACCGAGCTGTCTATATGTTGCTATGTTGCTATTTCTTCTCCTTCAAGGTTTCTTACTTATTTTTGGTTTTGGCTCTCAGGGTAAGAAAAGGAAGGACACTGTCTGCATTGCCCTTGCTGATGAAACCTGTGAGGAACCCAAAATCAGAATGAACAAGGTTGTCAGGTCGAACTTGAGAGTTAGACTAGGAGATGTTGTTTCTGTTCACCAATGCCCTGACGTCAAGTATGGAAAGCGTGTGCACATATTGCCAATCGATGACACTGTTGAAGGTGTTACTGGAAACCTATTTGATGCTTACCTGAAACGTAAGTTGAGCTTCTTCTACTTATATCATGTTTTAGCTGTGTTTGTTCTAGTTAATGTGTTGGGTTAGATAACTCAAGAGTGGTTTCTGAAGCAAAAAATTTTCATGCACAGCTTATTTCCTGGAAGCATACCGCCCAGTAAGGAAAGGCGATCTCTTCCTTGTCAGAGGAGGAATGAGGAGTGTAGAGTTCAAAGTTATTGAGACTGATCCTGCTGACTACTGCGTGGTTGCTCCGG